CGGTTCAGCATGGTGATCTTCAGGCAGTATATGGCAGTCTCTCAGCTTGGCATGGCTCGCATGGACTTCGCATGATACTAGAATGATCTCCCAGCCTGAGGTGAAGCCTGGCGTGGTCTGGAGTCAAAGCTCGGTGCCAGCATGAACTGGGTTGGAAGACCCTTGTTCTGAAATTGCTTTTCTCCATTTTATAATTCATTCCTAAAATCTGCAATGCTGGACTTTTCTACTTCTCTGTTTTTCCAAGAACTGTAACTGAAAAAGTGGTATTTAGGGAACTTTGTACTTAAGATGGCGCCATAAGTGTGACTTGCACACTTTTCACTGTACTCATTTGAGTACATATGACAATAAAGCTAATTCTAATTCTAATTCCAATTCTGGATTTCATCAGCTCTGCCACCATTTGTTGCACATCCTCACTTGCCCTTGAGAAAATGGTAGTGAGCTGCCTTCTTGAGCTGTTGTAGCCCAGGATTTTGACCCAGAGACACTGTAGAAGTGACAAATATATTTCCGAATCAGAACAATGAGTGGCTTGGAAGGGAATTTGTGTGGGTGGTGGTGTTCCCATCTATCTTCTGTCCTTGTCCTTGTAGATGGTGGTGATTGTGGGATTGAAAATTGATGCCTAAAGATCTTTGGTGAACTTCTGCAGTGCAATTTGTAGACCGTGCACATTGCTGCTACTTTAGCATCAGTGGTGGAGAAAGTGGATGTTATGGATGTGCTGCAAATCAAATGTGCTGCTTTGTCCTGGATGGTGTCAAGCTCTTTGAGTGCTGTTGGAGCTGCAGTCATCCAGGCAAGTAAGGAGTACTTCATCTCACTCCTGATTTATGTCATGTCAGTGGTGGACAGGTTTAGGGGAGTCAAGAGGTAAGTTACTTGTTACAGTTTTCCTAGCTTCTGATCTGCTTTTGTAGTCACAAAATTATATATATATATGTCAAGTCTAGACAAGTTTTTAGTCAATGTTTACCCCCCACCCCCGCAGGATATTGATAGTGGAGGATTCAGTAATGTGAACTGCATTGAACGTCAGCGGGTGATGGTTAGATTGTCTCTTGTTGGAGATGGTTATTGCCTAGTATTTATGTGACATGAAGGTTACTTGCCATTTTCAGCCCAAGCTGGTATTGTCCAGGTCATGCTGCATTTGGGCATGGATAGCTTCAGTATATGAGGAGCTGCAAATGGTACTGAGCATTGTACAATAATTGGTGACTATTCCCACTTCTGGCCTTATGATGAAGGAAAGGTCATTTGATGAAGCAGCTGAAGATGGTTGGGTCTAGGACACCATCCTGAGGAACTCCTGCAGAGATGTCCTGGAGCTGAAATGATTAGCCTGCAACAACGACAACCAGTTTCCTATGTGGTAGAAATGCCTACAACCAGTAGAGAGATTTTCTTCGATTCTCATTGACTCCAGTTCTGCTGGGGCTCCTTGATGCCCCACACTGTCACATACAATCTTGATGTCAAGAGCAGTCACTTTCACCACCCCTCTGGAACTCAGCTCTTTGGTCCATATTTGAACCAAGGCAATGGTAAGGTCAGGACCTGACTGGCTATGGCAGAATCCAAAGGATGTGGGCCAGAAGCAGGCAGGTGGGCCTAGTTTAGTTTGGGATTATGTTTGGTATGAACAGTTTGGACCAAAGGTCCTGTTTCTGTGCTGTATGTCTCTATGGAATGCAGTTGATGGCCTCAATTTTTGTTCCCAAGTTGGATGCCGAGAGGCAGAATTCCTGGCTCTGCAACCCCAACCTTTAGAACTACAGACCTGAATATTCCATTTTCTGTTCACTGTGAGGCTATGCTTGATTAGGAGTTAGATCAGCAAAGCCAGGAAAAGTGGAGGAGGCTGCCATCTCCTGAATCGGGCTCAGTGAAAAGCCTTTTTGGGGACTCTGACACTGTTCAAAGTTAATTATTAAAGTATATAACATTCATCCTGCTGTGACCCTATTACTTCTATCACTCTCTCTATGCCTTTAATTCCCCATGAACACCTCCGTATCTCACATACTCTGAAAACCTATGCCCCTATATTCAAGATGCAATGGCCCCTCATATCTCATATACCTACCTACCTAAATCCATAGCCGGTTACACCCTCTATGTCGCCCAATTTCCCTCCATTATCTCCATGGTCATTTGTAGTGCCTATTCCAACTTGTCAGGAGGCCTGCTGACAGAAAACGAATTTGTGTTTCCATTGATGAAGTTGCTGTTAAAAATTAAATACTTTTATTGGTATAAAAACATTCTTTGCTTTGAGATTCCTTCAAATAATCCCTCCAGAGAACAAATCTTTCACTTCAATCTGTATTCCCTTGTTTAAACAAACATTTCCATTTTACAAGCAGTTGGCACTCTCCACCCAAATACTCATTAGCGAGGTAACCTATTGTGAAAGTAATATTTGCAAAATCAGTAGCACAAATCCTATAAAGGTTTGTGTCAACAGGCACACTGAAGTACCAAGCACAATCTTTTTCAACTCCACTTGTTGTTTTGGACAGTTCCTTGACAGTTTTAGCAGCTCCTTGATAGCCCCATTGAGTCTATGCACTTTTTACCCACAATCCCAAATAGTACCTCAACCTCCACTAAGCATGCCTAACCTTCACCAAAGAGGAATTTAACCCTCCAAATATTGTCCCAAGTACAGATTTAAAGTCTTCTCCAAAGAGGTACCATGCTAGTTCAAGGGAAATATACTTTTTAAAAAAATTATTATTCATTTCTGGTACGTAGACTTTATGGCTGGCTAGCATTTATTATGTGTCTCTAGTTGCCCTTGAGAAGGTGCTGAGATCAAGCCTGTTCTAATTTCCACAATCTGAGTTCCACACTCGAGGGATTCTAAAATCTGATTTTAGCTGAGGAAGCTGATCATTTAAATGACCAACTGCCTCCAGGAACTGTGAATAAGACCAATAAATAATAAGAACATGAATAAGACCACCCTCAATCCTGCCTCCTTGAAAATGAGAAATTTTCAGAAGGTGCATTAACAATTGGGGGCGTATATGTGCGCAGATCATTGAAGGTGGCAGGAAGTTGGAGAGAGCGCGGTTAATAAGGCATAACATTTTTTTGGCTTTTTTAATATAGGCAAAGCGTATGGGAGCAGGGAGGTGATTTTGAACTTGTACAAGATATTCATTAGACCTCAGCTGGTATACTGTGTGCTGCGTGGGTGCTACATTAAAGGAAAGATGTGAATGCATTGGAAAAAGTGCAGAAGAGATTTACAAGAATGATTCCAGGAAAGAGAATCTACAATTATGAGGATAGATTAGAGAAGTTTACACTGTTCCCCTTGGAGAGAAGAATGTTGAGAAGATACTTGATAGAGGTTTTCAGTATCATGAGTGGGCTAGATGGAATAAATGGGGGATAAAAGAAAAATAGAGATGGCCTACACGTAAAGTGATGTACAAACAAAACAATAGTGATGTGAATTAAAATTCAGACAGCGAAGTGGTAAGAGTATGGAATGCACTGCCTGGAAATGTGGGGAACTCTGGTTCAATTGAGGCATTCGAAAGGGCATTGGATAATTATTTGGACAGAAATGGTGTGAACTGATATGGGGTAAAGGCAGGAGATTGGCACTAGGTAACAGAGCCGTTACAGGCATGAAGCACCGAATTGCCTCTTTCTGCACCGTACCAGTTCAGTGATTCTACTAATTCTTCTGTCATTCCCTTTATTTGTTTCTTGTAAAAAAAATTCTATTAAGATTATTCCAGCAAGAAATTTTATCATTCGTTCAACCCAGGTATTTGGGAATAAGTTTTAATTTGGACTTAGTTTATTTGTTTTCATGTGACTTGCTGACTAAAGATGATTGTTAAATTTCTATACATCACACAAAATTGAGTTTTTTATAATTTTGTCTGTTTAGTACAGGAGAGCGAAACAGACTGAAAAGCCCAGTTAAAAACCAAAAGAACTGCAGATGCTATAAAGCAGAAATAAAAACAGAATTTGCTGGGAAAGCTCAGCAGGTCTGGCAGCATCTGTGAAGAGAAATCAGAGTTAAGGTTTCGGGTCTGGTGATTCTTCCTCCAAAGGGTCACCAGACTCGAAGGGTTATGATGAAGGGTCACCGGACCTGAAGCATTAACTCTGATTTATCTTCACGGATTCTGCCAGACCTGCTGAGCTTTTCCAGCAAGTTCTACTTTCGTTTTTGAAAAACCCAGAAATTTTTTTTTTAATCTTTTGTGCATATTCAGTGTATTTTAGTTTTGAAATGGCTGCATTTATTCCAAATCCCTCTTTGTATGTAGTCAATTTTTAGAAAATCACTAACACCAAACTTGCTTGGATTTTTAAATCAGGTGTGTTATTTATTCACAGATAACACAGTGTGGAGCTGGAGGAGCACAGCAGGCCAGGCAGCATCGGAGGAGCAGGAAAGTTGACATTTTGGGTCGGGACCCTTCTGTCCTGAAACATCAACTTTCCTACTCTTCTGATGCTGCCTGGCCTACTGTTCTCCTCCAGCTCCACACTGTGTTATCTCTGACTCCAGCGTCGGCAGTTCTTATTATCTGTGAGTGCATTATTTATTCACATACACTTTTCTCAGAAAGGTTTATCACTAATTCACACACGTTCCAAAAGTTCAAGAAAGATACAGTAAAAGAACAGTTTCTCTCGTATGAAATATTAAGGCCAAACAAGTATTTAACATTTCACGAGATGGTAAGACTTCAGTGAGTGGACTGGAGTCAACAGTGTCAATGAAAATGCAGGCTAGCTGCTTCCTTTGCATGGAGGAAGAAGGAGATCCAGAGCTCGGATATTTTCACCAACTATTAAAAAAAACTATAAAAACTATGAAGTAGTTTTAATAGATAGCAATCAAGAGGTTTCATTACCTGGTTGTGGAAGATTGAACTCCCAGATGGTTATTTTTTTGTTTACGTAGTTCATATGAAACATGATAACTTATTTCATATTTTAAGTTTGTTGGGTGAAGTTTTGAAAAATCATTTGAGATGGAATTTTGAAGACAAATGATTCAGTAAACGTCAAGTGATCCTGGTGTTACAGCAAGTAAATCCTTAGTTTTTAAATTGTTGCTAATATTTTAGAGAGGCAGTTATCTATTCTGGTGTGTTTTATGACTTTGATACCGAAAAATGAAATCACATATTAGAGGCAGAGCAAGGCATTTACAAAATTGTACCTTTTGACAGTGTGTCAACTGGAACAGAGTTGTTCTTTTCTATTAATGTTATTCTTTTCCAAATAAGTTTTAGTTTTCTCATAAACTAATAATTGTAAGTCATAAGAAACCTGGTTGTGATCTGTTGTTCATTAAAACTAGATATAGATAAGGTATTTAATAATCTATCTTGGTAATTGGAAAAAATATTTTTATTTTATGTTGTGACCCATGAAGTTTGGGCAAGAACAATAATACACTCTTTCAGCATTGGTCATAATATAAAATGTGCATAGGCTTTTATGGAATACCCTTTGAAGATGTTGTAAGTTTAATAGTAAGTGAAGAACTAATAATTGCAAAATGAGATTTCTTGTGCATTATTATATCAAAATGGCTTTGAAAGTTCCTAAGACTTAGAAAAGAAAATTTATCCCTATTGATTTGTGAAGAATAAGCAAAGTCAACTAATTGAATTGGCTGGGAAGTTTGGGTTTGAGTTAAAAGTAGGAGTTGGGTAGGCAGAATAAATAAGGAAATAGCACAACATTTGAATTTGGAAGAATAATAATGTAAACTCAATGGTGAATTAATTGATTTGGCAAGAATTTAATTGTACGTGATACAGCTTGAAAGAGGAAAGATAATGGAGTCATAGAGTCATACAACACGGAAGCAGATTTTTCTGTCAGTGCTGACCAGACATTCCAATCTGATCTAGTCCCATTTGCCAGCATTTGGCCCATGTCACTCTAAACCCTTCTTATTTATATACCCATCCAAATGTCTTTTAAATGTTCTAATTGTATCCACCTCCACCACCTCCTCTGGAGCAGGAAAGAGAATTTGAACTTAATGAACTAGAACTTAAAAGAGAAGCACATCAGATGCAGGTAAAAGAAAGGGAAAGAACATTTCAGGCAAGAGAAATAGAGAATAGTAGCTTAAAATGTTGGAACTAAAACAAGAGGCCACTGACTCCAGGGATAGTTCTGATAGGAAAAGACCAAAATCTAGACCAAACTCGCATAGGGAGTTTTCTAAATTTGCACAGACATTCTAGAAACATGGTACAAGAAATGCTGAGACAAAAGAAAACTTGACATTGCTCTTGCAGAGCTCACAATTGTTGTTTTCTAAGGAGGCTTCTACAGATTGAGGTGGCAAATAAGACTATTCTTGGTGTGTAAGCATTGATTCCTGAACTTTACAGGCAGAAATTTTAGAATATCCAGAAAAAGCCTGGGGCAGACATTTTGAAATTGAGAATGTACATAAAAAGCAGGACATTTAAGGGGTGGCGCAGTGGTTAACATTGCTGCCTCGCAGCACCAGGGACCTGGGTTCGATTCCAGCCTTGGGTAACTGTCTGTGTGGAGTTTGCACATTCTCCTCATGTCTCTGTGGGTTTCCTCTGGGTGCTCCGGTTTCCTCCCACAGTCCAAAGATGTGCAGGTTAGGTGGATTGGCTTTGCTAAATTGCCCATAGTGTCTAGGGTGGTTTATGCAGGGATGGGCCTGGATCTGGAGGGGATGCTCTTGGGAGGGTTGCTGTGGACTTGATGGGCTGAGTGGCCTGCTTCCACACTGTAGGAATTCTATGATTCTATGATTCAAATCCAACGCAGCCAATTTCTGATCCATCGGTCTCCTATCCATCATCAGTAAAGTGATGGAAGGTGTCAACAGTGCTATTGAGCATCACCTGCTCAGTGATGCCCAGTTTGGGTTCCTGACCTCATTAGAGCCTTGGTTCAAACGTGGACAAAAGACTTGAATTCCAGAGGTGAAAGTGACAGCCTTTGATATGCAGGCTGCTGTTGACTAAGTGTGGCATCAAGGAGCCCTACCAGAACTGGAATCAATGAGTATCCGGGGGCAAACTTTCTGGTGGTTAGAGTAATACTCCAAGACATTTCTGCAGGAGTTCCCCAGAGTAGTGTCCTTGGCCCAAACATCTACAGCTGCATCATCAAGACCTTCCCTCCATTATAAGGTCAAAAGTGGGGATGTTCGCTGATGATTGCACAATGTTCAGCACCATTCGCAACTTCTCAGACATTGCAGTCCATGCCCAAATGCAACAAGATCTGGACAATATCCAGACTTGGGCTTCCAAGTGGCAAATAACATTCACACCACACGAATGCCAGGCTATGACCATCACCAATAAGAGACAATCTACCCACCGCCCCTTGACATTCGATGGTGTTACCATCACTGAATTCCCCACTATCAACGTCTTAGGGTTTATCATTGATCAGAATCTCAACTGGACTCAACTCCTAAATGCAGAGGTTTCAAGAGCATCTCGGAGGCTAGGAATACTGCAATGAGTAACTCACTTCCTGACTCCTGAAAGCCTGTCCATCATCTACAAGGCACAAGTCAGGGACTTGATGGAATATTCTCCACTTGCCTGGATGAGTGCAGCCCCAACAACACTCAAGAAGCTTGACACCATCCAGGACAAAGCTGCCCACTTGATTGGCACCATATCCATGAGCATCCACTCCCTCCAGCACCGACACTCACTCGCAGCATTTTTTACTATCTACAAGATTCAGTGCAGAAATTCACCAAACATCTTCAGATATATGGGAACAGCACCACCTTCAAATCCCCCTCCAAGCCACTCCCCATCCTGACTTGCAAATATATCAGCGTTCCTTCACTGTCACTGGGTCAAAATTCTGGAATTCCCTCACTAATGGCATTGTGGGTCAACCCACAGCAGGTGGACTGCAGCGGTTCAAGAAGGTAGCTCACCACCTTCTCAAGGGCAACTAAAGACGGTCAATAAATGCTGGCTGGCCAGTGATGCCCACATCCCACAAAATGAATAAATAAAAAAAAAAGTATAAAAGAATAACTTTGCCAGTTGGATGTAGAGATTACAGAGACTACCCTGTACTGTGAATGTGCCTGATAAATGCATTTGTCTTCTGAAGGTCCTCACATTGCTCTCAAGTAGAGTTTTTATGCTCTGGCTAAAAAAAAAACTTACTCCACCCACTCTGTGTGTGGCTGTAGCCATTTTCCACTTCCAGTACATATTTATGATTTGCATGAGGATAGAAGGTAGCATAGGTTTTGCTTAGTACAGTGAATCTCGAGGTTTTGCGTGGTAATCAATAATCTCCCTTCCCAAAACACCATGTATCTTTTTGTCTTGGCCTCCTTGATGAGCCCATGAATATTAAGCTTCTACATGTTACCACATTACCTCTTTGAATTCTGGTTTCATCTTCCAAAATTACCCCGGAGCCCGAGACCTCCAATAGCTTTCAGTATGGACTTGCCCAACTTCCATATTGTGCCAGTGGCCCCCAGCAAGCTTTCTTGACTTTCATTGATTTGCCCCCCAGGACTAATTGTGGTTCACTCCCCTGACCGAACTGGATGGGCAGCTCCGACAGATGACTGACCAGACCTGTAACTGACCAACTTGCCATTAGTCTCAAATTGGTTGCATTGGGCCTGCAGGATGGACCACAGCCCACTCCCCTTTGTGATAGAAATACCCTAGATGCCTCAAGCAACTAACTGACCATGTCTAAGCCCCTGCACTGATATTGGATACTATCTTTCACTTACTGTGGTTGGATCCCCTGTCTGAAGGCTATCACTTTTGGCATGACTGAGTACTCCATTAAGAGTTTGAGATATGGCCAGTTGTTTGGTATCCATGCTGTGTTTGCCACATGTTTGCTGCTGGCAGATGATACACATGTAAGTTTGATGTAACATGAAGGTATGTAGCAACATGACCAGGCCTTTGACTGATGACTGCTGACAAATATGACAAGCTGTCTGGCTTTCCTTTTTTATAGAATCCCTACAGTGTGGAAACCAGTCATTCGGCCCAAATCCATACCAACTCTCTGAAGAGCATCCCACCCAGACTCAAACCCCCACCCTATCCCTGAAACCCTGCATTTCCCATGGCTAATCCACCTAACCTACAAATGCCTGGACACTGGGCAATTTAGAATGGCCGATCCACCTAATCTGCACATCTTTGGATTGTGGGAGGAAACCAGAGCACCCGGAGGAAACCAGAGCACCCAGAGGAAACTCACACATTCATGGGCTTGTGCAAACCCTACATAGACTGTTGCCCGAAGCTGGAATTGATCCTGGGTCCCTGGCACTGTGAGGCAGCACTGCTAAGTACTGAGCCACTGTGCCGCCAAATTCGTTCATGAGAGATGAGGGCGTCACTGGCTAGGCCAGCATTTATTGCCCATCCCCAGTTAAGACTCCACCACATTGCTGTGGCTCTGGAGTCACATGTAGGTCTGACCATGTGAAGTCTTCCTTCCTTAGATGACATCAGTGAACTAGACAGGTTTTTCCTGACAATTAGCAATTGTTATCATTAGACTCTTTATTCCAGATTTTTACTGAATTGAAATTCCACCATCTGCCATGGTGGGATTCAAACCTAGTTTCCCAAAGTATAATTTGGGTCTTTGGATTACAGTCCAGTAATAATACCACGAGGCTGTTACCTCCCCTGCACTAAGCAGCAAAGCAAGAAAGAAGGACTGTGAACCTTTAAGCTCTCAGAGTCATAGAGTCATAGAGATAGACTGCAGAAAAACAGACCCTTCGGTTCAACTTGTCCATGCCGACAGATCCTATATTAATCTAGTCCCATTTGCCAGCATTTGGCCTATATCCCTCTAAACCTTCCTATTCATATACCCATTCTGATGCCTTTTAAATGTTGTAATCTTACCAACCTTCACCACTTCCTCTGGCAGCTCACTCCATACATGCACCACCCTCTATGTGAAAAAGTTGCCCCTTAGGTCCCGTTTATATCTTTCCTCTCTCACCTTAAACCTAGTTTTGGACACCCACCCCAGGGAAAAGACCTTAT